CGAAGGACTTGCACTCTCCTTGTTAGTGCAAGGTAAATAAGCAAATTTTTGACTCTGATATTTATGTACTCTATTGTATATTATATATCATACACTTTTAGAGCATTGTACATAAATAGTCAAACGACGAAAAATGAACATTAGAAAGAAAATTTTTATTTGAAAAAATATTTGAATTTTAATTGTCAATAAACTTCAATTTTGTCTGATAACACTTTATTCACTTGTCACGAATATACTACAGAATTATGCATTATTATGTTATTAAATACATAGTGGCTAACAAAGTTGTTTATTTTTAGTGCAAGGTAAATAAACAAATTCTTCACTCTAAAAGTATATGATAAGTAATATACAATAGAGTATATAAATCTTCTAGAACATTGTATATAAATAATCAAACGACGAAAAATCAGCACAAGAAAGAAAATATTAATTTGGAAAAATGTTTGAATTTTGATTGTTAATGTAAATTCAAATTGTTAAACAGAGCTGACGAATTTTCTACAGTTCCATGACTATTCCTATATAAATAAATTAAATAAAGAGGTACACACTAGAGGAAAATGACAAATTCGTGTAAAATAGAAATAACATGTAATTAACATATAATTAACAACAAATAATTTTTAACACGTTAAAATGCTTAAAATTGTGGTAATGGACATAGATTTTTAAATATATATGTGTTGATATAATAAAGGAGCCATGTCGGTAAGGAAGGGATGACTGGAACAAGTATGCATGAGATGGTAATATCTAATGAATTCAGGTTATTGTGATAAATGAGTACAGGTAACCCTCCTATAACACGGTAGATAGGTTCCTAGAAAATTCCGTGTTGTGTGAAACCGTGTTGTATGAGACCCAGAGCCAGTACGAAAAGGAGATTTACATTCCGAAAACTTATTAAAAACAATATTTTTTTTAATTCTACATAAACAACTTAATTTTTGTTAAAAATATAAATATATGTACAACACGACAAAAAAAAAACAAAAATATTATTTTAATTTAACGCAACTTCAATTAAATAAATTTCTTCGTCGTCACTGCTCAGTATAATCAACCGAGAACGTGTTTTCGGTGGAATGATATCGCCTTTGCTTTCAGAACATTTTTCTTCGTTTAAAGTTCTTGCATCTTCTTCCCTCTTAAAAAATTCTGTAATTTCACTTTGCTCGCTGGTTCTTACCAGGTCATTGTAAATTTCTCGGTATGGAGCTGAACAGTTTTGCAGCTCCCTTTTGAATTTTCGGCTTCTTTCAGCGGAAGGGTCTGCATTCGAGAAAAATGACTCGAGATTTTCAGCTAAGCTTAGGCCTTCTTGTAATTTTTTAATGTTAAATTATTAACTGCGCAATCTTCATCGGTGCTAGTGTCTTTGGAATCGATTTGATTTACAGCTTCAGATGCCATTTCCATCAAATCCGCTTCGTCGATTTCTTCTTCCACTAATAAAATCTCGAACGTCCTCGATAGCCATATCCACAAAATATTCGCCTCCGATTGATTTAGCGAGTTCTAATATGCCACCAATTTCATTTTCTGACGATTCACGCACGTTTCCTATTTCAACCGAAGAGGGCCATATCTTCTTCCAACACGTGTTATAGGATGCCGTGTTATAGGAGGGTCCCCGCAATTTATGAATCGTGTTATAGCGAAACCGCGTTACAGGATACCGTGTTATAGGAGGGCTACCTGTATATGTATAATGAGTGAGATATTATGTGAATTGTGTAATGTAATTGTGTAATGTATGAAAGAAGAAAGAACAAAACGAGAGTGATTTGGCATAGGTCAGTTGCAATTGAGTTTTAATAGTGAAAAGAGGTGTGAGCATGTGATTGTGATAAATTAATTATATTTCAACTTAATATTCGTGTTTGATCATTTTTGTGATTAAATAAAGTATTATTCTTATTGTTATTAATATTTCATCCACCACTAACAAAAATGTGTTGCAGAATCAAGGAAATATCGAACCCAATGCTTAATTCTAATAAACACTGCTGTGTTAATAATTTCGACTTAAATTTGTTAAGTTAAATTTACAATCGAATACTTTTATGAGGCCATAACTTTGTAACATGATTTATAATATTTTACTTCAATGAAGAGTCATATTGTGGGTCGATGAACTTGTTCCAAAAAATTTCAAAAATGGAAATTTTCAAAATGAAAATTTCAAAAATTTTGTAAATTTTGGAATCAGAGGATTCTAACATTGCAAGGTAAATTCTGTATATTTTGCAATTTCTGAGACTGCAATTTTAATGAATAACAATTACTAATAAAAATATATTCTTCTTGTTATATTGTATAATAAATATTCACAATAGTATCTTAATAAAATAATATGAAAAAAGATTTCTTTTTTATTTTCCAATTTCAGCGAAACTGATTCTATATAACAATTTTGTAAAGTGATGCACGAGTTGCGATGAAATAAAAGGAAAACCAAAACTAACAAAATATGATGGCGAAATAAAAAAATATTTGTACACTGCTAAATGTAAAATATTGGAATCTTTCCGGGAAACCCATAAAGTTTTGAAAGTCGATTTAAAAATATTCGGAATTTTGAAGATATCGTTGAATAAATATGGTTATTTTATAAAAATATTATATCGTATTAATCGAAAGTGATTAAAACGGAAAGAAATTATATAGAATTATTTTTGATTTTTAATTTTCAATTTATCATATCTAATTTTCAATTTTCAATTTTTCGTGCAATTTTGGATTTGCGATTTTTCGTCAATACAGATTTTATTAAATGGCTATTATGTTAAATAAAACATAATAATAATTTTAGAAATATTAATTTGAATTATTTTTTATTGTATTTTTTATAATATTTTATTAGTACTTTTATATTTTGTATTATTTTATAATTTTTATTTAATTATTTAGAATACCTTTCCCTTTGAATTATTTCTTTTTTTATTATATCGTATTAATAAATAACTAAATGACAAAGTCGGTTATTAAATTCTCTATTTAACACGTAACATCTATGCTAAAAATACAAAAATTATTACAATTCGTTGAATGTTCCATTATTTCATTAACGCCAGCTCGAATAATCACGTGATTTTATAGATCGAATAATTATATGATTTTTCACAGTAGAATATAGTGTAACGAGAGATTGAAGAATAACTCGATTAATTGTTCGGGTCAAAGAAGTTCTAAATTAGAAGGGAACGGCGATAACTCTCATTTCATTTCTTCTTCAGAAACCTACGTTGCTCATTAGCTAATTATTGAAAAACGAGAATAATAATTGAAGCTTGCCGCTTCATCAAACGTCAATACAAGATTATTTGCACTAACGAAAAGATTTTAATTACAAGATAAATACAAAGGAAGAGAATTTATAAATTGCAACTTGTGTTTACTTACATATAAATCTAGTCTGAAGTAAACTTCTTCAACAGTCAATCTTTAATTTTAACCTAATTCACTATTCATGTTGACAGATTTATTGATTAATTTACTATCGTTTCTTTTTCTATTACTTATTGTACAAACGTACAAATTGCAAGATTAATAAAATGTAATTACATTGATTGCTTGAGACATGTAAACTTCACATATATCGATTTTATACAAATTGAAAGATATGATCACACATTGCTTGTGCATATTTTTATTTAAAGAAAGAAATGATTCCTTCGCATAAGCATAATTTGATGTTGTGGTGCCATCTAGTGACGACAACCGTAAGAGAAAATATCTGTCAGTAACTATGGTTATCTGGTGAACCAGAGTAATACACATTCTATACAATAGATGGACCACGTAGTTAGTAATCAGAAATTAGTTTCGTTTACTAAACATTTACACGTAATTTAAGTTTAATAACTTAACCGTTAACAATTTACGCTGTCAATTATGTCAAGTACCATTAATAATGTAATATATATGACATGTTAAGTTACGAGTATTCGTATTGTTATGAATATGGCAAAAACTGACGTGGTAAATGATATCAAGCAACTTTCAAATTTGGAAGAAGAGCAGAAAATAATTGACAAGGCACCCTTTTGTCATTTAAAAATTACTAATGCACAAATTTTAGATACCATAGAAGGCCGACAAATATGTAAACGTTGTTATAGGTCACGTAAATTTTTTTGCTACTCTTGTTATTTACCAGTTATTAATGAAAAATATATCCCGAAAATTAAGGTATTAATCATGTACTTGATAAGTGTTTAAATTCTGTAAATATGAATGAATAATTTTTTCTTTCTAGTTACCTATTAAAATTGATATTATCAAACATGCACGTGAAATTGATGGGAAAAGCACAGCAATTCATGCGGCTATAATTGCTCCAGACGATGTGAGAATATTTACATATCCCAATTTTCCAGAAATATTGGACAAAGAGGAAGTAAGATGATAATATATGTTGAATTATTTTATTTCTTTAAACTTTCATGCGGTTTAAGTAATATTATTTCTTAGACTATTTTAATTTTTCCTAGCAAAACTGCTACGTCCGTGGATTCCCTGTTCGTAAAGCAAGTTGAGGAAAACAATAGAACAATTACAAATAGAATAGGGGATGCATTTCCCATAAAAAGAGCTATTTTTATTGATAGTACATGGCATCAGACAAAAGCTATTTATAAAGATCAAAGGTTAAGAGGTAAATACATAAGTAAATTAATGATATACTATGAATAACATTTTTACATTTACATATAGGATGATCTTATCATCTTCATCGCTTATAATATTATAACTGCTTTTAAAACTGGAATAAAATATCTTAAAATTGATAAGAAGATAGAATGAAGCTATAAGATTTATATGATATGAAATATTTATTTTTTAGATATTACATATAAATATAACAATACTTTTATATTTTATAGATAATCTTCAATAAAAAACTTAAATTCTAATCTAAAAAATTTAATCAAGACTTACTGTGTAGTTGAATGTTACATAATAAGATACATAATATCTTTTTAAAAATTGTTGAAAATTAATAACACGTTGTAACCCTCTCTGATCCACAACATGATAAATTATACTAGTTACTTCAAAATGTTAATCATTACTATTATTATACTCCTCACTCTGATATGCATAGATAACTACGTAGATAATATTACTTGATTTAATATCACTGTAAATATAGAGATAAAAGTTAAGAACATACTATATTTTTTAAAATGCATGAAAAGATATTTTTGGTCTAAGATCATTCGAAGAAAAATTCAAATAACCAAATTTGTTGCAGCATTATTTACAGTATTATAATGATTTATGATTTACACTTAAATTATTTTTAAAAGCAACAAAGATATTTTAACTTGTAAAGAAAAGAGAACTAGTATGTATATATTTCGTGTACAATATAAAAATATTAAAATAAAGATATTTAACTCAATATATATTATCAATTTACAGATTTACATTGTATAGTTTTAAAATCAAGAATATCACAATTTTGGCGTCATCAAAAAAAAAGTCCTAGATGGTATTTGGCTACCATCGAAGCAATACATCAGTTCTTAGTAGAATTGCATACATGCGCATTTGGTACGATACATGGATACGTTAACATAAAAGATACAGAAGAAAACTATACAAAGAATGTTGTGCATCAATATGTGAACGAGTTACCTGAAACAGATCAAAGATATAAAGGTCAATACGATGATCTTTTATACTTTTTTAAATATATGTACGAAAAAATTCATACTATATATGATCATGATCAGTTATGGGCATATAAAAGGCCATTAATATAATTCTGTGATAACAAAGCATTTTATAAAAAGAATCTTATTAATAAATAAAAAATTAGTAACATTTCCACAATCTTGATTCCCAACCTTAAACATATTGATTTTTTACAACTAATTATAGTATAAAATCATAGGTTAATAAACTTATAATATATTAAATATTGTAAATTCTGTATAAAATAATAAAGCAATTTCTTATAAAATATATACATATATGATTAATCGTCTAAAACTATGTAAAAATTATATTTTTAATATATGTATATATCAATTATATAATTTATTCTTAAAAAACAATACCAAAATCATATATATCAAGAACACAAATACAAACTAATATATACAATTTTCGTAAAATTATTTTCCGTTTTATTAAATTATATTAAGTCTAATATGACACACTTCTACATATTGCTATCATTGAACAAGTAGATTCTTTTTCTTTAACGAACATATTACTTTTTGACTACATTTGGCAAATTAGTAATTATATTACTAATAAGAAATGCTCTTATTAAACAGGCTCGCAAACCTAAAAACTTTTGTAGCAGTATTCAACACACTATGGAGACGATATTTCTCGAACAGAGGTGGGTGACCTAATAGGTATTTCCAGCAAATCAAACATCAAATTATGTTATCTATTTCTGCGTTAAAGCCTCCTTGAAAATTCAAAAATATACATACGCTTTACGTCTATACAAGAATACAGTGATATCCGAAAATAAAAAATGAGCTGCAAATATAGAAATATTCATTGAGTTTGCAACTTTTTTAATTGTTTATTATATTTGAAAATAAACAATGGACATAGGGAGCATGTACGGAAAAGAGAATGCTCCCAAACACACGGGAGGCAGCACGCTCATTCGCGAATAGCTGGTAGTGACGTCACAACATCTTCGTCTCTTACGTTCCGCAACCCGCGGAGCCCGTCACCCGTCTGCGATGAGTTTAGTTTTCAAAACAAGACTCTGGTTGCCGCTCGTAGGCCGCACTCGCGTCTAAACGAAAACTCGAAGCGAAGTTAAAATCTAGTGATACAGAAGGCTGTGCTGTACTACACTCGCGCGGTTTCGTTTCTTCCGGTATTTTCTGCCTTTTCGTAAAACGTGACGAAAAAATGGACACCCTTCGCGAGCAGGTGATGATCAATCAGTTTGTGCTGGCTGCAGGTTGTGCCAGGGAGCAAGCGAAACAATTGCTGCAGGCCGCTCATTGGCAGTTCGAGGTAAGGGAATAAACTTCCGCATCTTTTTTTCGACAAACATCGAGAACTTCACCATATTTATACTCATCGCGGCTCGATACTTTCTACGTAAACAAAGCAGTGAAAATGGCCGACCGTCCAGGCGGCACTATCGTTGATTCGACTCGCAAATATTATGTATTCACGTACGTTTCATTGAAAAAAAAGGTTGTATTGGATGGAATGATGTTCCATTGCCGGCTGTCATGTATAGTCGCATTAAAATTCGATCGGTAATTACGGCTCGTAAGCAGGATGAGTCAGTAAGCACATTTACTACTACACAGGATGAAGTCCATTCATAAAAATCATACGATGTTGCTAAGAGGTTTTGTTCGTTATTATGACGAGTGGGATCGCTCAAAGCCTGTCAAGGTTATAGCGTTGGACGACACATTCAAGTTAACACTTTTCTAAGGTTATTGTTTGTTTTCATTTATGTACTCGTGACTGTATTTAGCTATAAATCCAATTTTAGACTTGGCATTTATTTATAAACATCGTTATAGCTCGTATTCATCGTGCGTAAAGCGTCGCTGCTTTAAAATAGGGTCATGTATCTATATCATACTCGATTTCTTCAAACCTACTCTGTAAACGGACTTGGCCATTAACAATGAGAACAATGCTGACATCGCGTGCAGCAATCGCGAACAATAATTATCTTTTCGGTACAACCTTTCCGAGCCCTATCGATTTACGAGCTATCCGTTTGTACTAAAAGTCTCCTTCGGTTTATGGAAATTAGATTACATTTAACCTATCCGGCGTATACTGTGTATACTAGCAAGTTAACGACCTTTTATACGTAACATTTGCAAACGAAATACAACTCCTGTTTTATCTCCTAATTACTCAAAGCAATGCATTAAGTCGTTACATTTGTAAATGAATCTAAAGTGTGTTAAATGAAAGTATCGTTTGCGAATGATCAGATATAACGTAAATATAATATACACAAATTTTCTCGACGCATAACCTACGTTACATGCGAAGGTGAACTATAAAAGTCCCTAAACGATCTTGATAACCACATGGTACCACTGCAGCGTTATATCTTATTTAACATCAATTGTCTATTACCCTTCATTCGCGTTGTAACTGTATGGATTAATACGATTCGCATTTTAAGGTTAGTCGGTGGTACGTAAAAATCGAGAAACCCGATAAAAGCAATTTACAGCAAATCTAACCTCGTTAATTCTACGAAATGGAAAGGGAGCTGGTGTGGTATGTTTTGGCGGAGGGGTGTATTCGGGAAGATGTTTGCAGCTTTGACAGTTCGCGTACAGTTTCTCGTTATCTAGCGGCTATCCGAAATCCGCGAAGTTTACGTTTCTTATACTTTCACACGATCAATATACAATACGGTCAAGAACCTACGGTGGACTTTCAGCAATTAGTATCTTATCCGTGGCGGGCATTAGCCGGCACTTCTTTGCTAAAAGCTTTCTGCATTTCAAACGCATTTAAGGAAGAAGTAGAGCGCAAGAGTAACATTTCCAGCATTCGAACAAGGAAAAAGCGGCGTTTTATCGCGAAACATTGCCAATTTATCCCGTGACGCGGCGCCGAATTGATCGATAGTTGATTGCGAGATCGGTTTGGTTATTTAGCGCTATGTTTGCTGAGTGGTTGCAACACGATATTAGACGCTAAATTGTAATCCTCGATCGTTTGTTGGAACGCGAGATTTCGTAAGAACCGCGGAGGATTGCTAATATTTAATGTCATTCCGTTATTATTATCTCATCGTTATCGCGTTATTGTCATCCCGTGAAAATAACCGTTGCATCATTTAAAATAAACACGGCCAGTCTTTTACACACACGCGTGTGTATATACATACGTATTCAAAGTCAATTTTCTCGGAAACAGCCTTGCGTGACCAAACCAAAAAATATTCCCATTTTTCTTCCTCGACTTATTTTTTCCAGTTCTTTGCTCATCGGTTACAGGACACCCTGTATAGACGTGTGCCCGTCTGTGAGTGGATTTTTATTCGCCTCGTAGGATAATAGTAGAGGAATCTTTTTGGTCGAAGGACTCGAATACCGGCGAAACGAAAAGAATACGGTACTCGTAATAGTCGAAGTCTGCGTTATCTCGGGAGAGGATACAGAGAAATAAGGGGAGAGAGAATTCAGTCCGTTCGTTGAATTCAGTCTGAAAACTTTCTCTGCTCGGCTGCTAATGCGTTTAACAACAGATTACGACACGGGTTCTAATGAGCACTGGCAAGTCTGTATACGTTACCCCGGTACCTTTCCAGTCTCTCTCTCTTTCTCTCTCTCTCTCTCTCTCTCTCTCTCCTCCCCCCTCCCACTCTCCCTCCCTCCCTCCTTCTCTTGCTCTTGCTCTGTCGTCTGTGCCGGTATAAATACACAATAGACGAGGTGCTTTCACGATTATCCAATGAGTTTATATGCACTTCTCGACATTTTAAATTATTTAAAAAAAAAGGAAAGAGAATTGACATGCATGTACTTTACACATATACATACTTTGGTTTATTTATGGATTCGAAGATTCGACGAATTTTGAAAGTTTCATACGTTTCCGATTATTTACGGATTTCTTGGAAATTTAAATTTTGAATGCTTCGAATGTACTCGTTCATTTACGGATTTCTTGAAAATTTGAATTTTGAATGTTTCAAATGTTCTCGTTCATTTACAGATTTCGTCGAAATTTGAATTTTAAATGTTTCAAATGTTCTCATTCATTTACGAATTTTGTCGAAATTTTTATATATATCTTTTTTTTTACGATTTCCTTTGAAACTTCTTTTCGTTTTTTCAAATTTTTGGGTATCTTTATTTATTTACGAATTGCTTCGCAATTCGAATTTGAAATTTATGTTTACTGTCGTTTATGTAAATTTTAGAATTTTTAAATGTTTCTGTTTATTTTCAGATCTCTTCGAAATTGAAATCTTTTGAATTCTTGAAAATTTTGTATACTTCCGGATTTTTGCGTATTTCCTCGTAATTCGAATTTTGAAATTTTTATATATTTTCATTTATTTCGGAATTCCTTCGAAATTCAAATTTTGAAATTATTTTATATTTCCATTTATTTAGAAATTCATACATTCGAAGTTGAAATTTTCAAATTTATTTATGCTTTTATTCATTTTGGAATTTCGTTGTAATTCGAACTTTGAAATTTTTCTCGATCTTTTCGTCTTTTGGTATTGTTATATTGTAGTTTGCTGGTAATTGAAATTTTTTTACAAATTCTTTCCAAAATGTGATTTTTAAATTTATTTCAGTTTTCGTTTATTTTAAAATAAATTCAAAATTCCTTCTAAGTCTTCAAAATTTCTTTATAGTCTTTTAAATTTCGAAATTCCTTCAAAATTCGATTTTTGTATTCCTTTTCAGTAAAAATCTTCAAATTTCTTATATTTTAACATATTTCGAAAATCCTTCGAAATTTCTTGGAAATGCGATTTTTTAAATTTTGCATTCTTCCATTCATTTACAAATTCCTTGTCAGTAAAAATCTTCAAATTCCTTGTATTCTTATATATTTGCAAAAATTCCTTCGAAATTCAATTTTAAAAAATTTTTACATTTTTCTATCCATCTATAAATTTCTCGTCAGTTCAAATCCCCAAATTTCTTAATTCCTATATATTTCAAAATTCCTCAAAATTTTCTTCAAAATCCAATTTTTGAAATTTTCAAAATGTTTCCCTAACCTTCCATGCCTCGGTATGCTCATATCATGGTTTGCGAGTAATAACTGAAAAGTCTATTTCGCTTCGTTCAATATCTCATATTCAACGGACAAAGTAACGTCAAAGTACTATTCCTTTCGTCCGCGTTTCATCCTCGGATGGTTAATTTTAGCACTGAACGCGAAGTGCCATTAGGATATAATTGCATGGCCGGCGCGCGATGGAGGCAGCGGCCGAGTAATAGAAATAAGACTATTGTTACCATTATCGCGGTACCAATCGTCCAGCCATGCCATTCTATCGGGAGATCCTTTTCAGCGGCCGGCTTTCAAGCTAGAGGAGCGGCAAGATTACGACGATCCTATTGCGGTGACATCTGGCAAAGTCCATCTGTTCTGTTTTTGTCGCCGTCAGTGTCTCTCATCGTTGACAAGCCTCTCTACATTTGTTCCTAGTCCATGGTCAGTGGGATGGGTCCGTTAAATGTAATTCCACTAGCGTCTTTCCATTTACATCCAAATTTCCCTATACGCCTGAATTTCCCCTAAACCCAAACAAATCTCGGAGGAATTCGTTTCCACGACGTTTCTTTAGGATTCCTGAGATTCTTCCAGCGCATTTTTCACGCGTATCGAGTACCCACGGAATATCAAAACAATGCCAGATATATCGCAGAAGCTTGAAAAATTAGCGCGCGCCACCATTGTGGTGGCAGTGTGCCATTCTCTTTTATCCGCAGGGATATACGGCCCGTGCTGAGAGGAACTCTGTTTGCAAACCACACGGCAGCGACTTGCAAACGATGCTTCCATCAAATCGCTCTTTCTTCGGCAAATTTCCTTCCGCTATTTAGCAAATTGCTCCCACGTGCACCGAATGTGTAACATTCCAGTTTTATGTTTCGTGGTTTGCCTTCCTGCATCCACGTTCCAATTATTGACTGCTCTCCTGTGAAATTTCTTCCTCTTGCATTTTCTCTTTTCTTTTTCTTTTCTCGTTGGTCCGATATGCTAAAGATAAATAGGAATTCAATACTACGAAGAAACGTACCGAGTGTTTCTTTCAACTACAAACGATGGAGTTTAGATGGAATTTAGACTTCTAGTCTACAGGTCAATTTTTACGTGCTATTTGGGATTTTTTTTGAGAACTGTAAAGACGTTATTGTGTCGGGATTTATGGCATAGTTTTGACCTATATTTGAGGAGTATATACTATTTTTTTCGTGAAAAAGTATCGAAAATTGTCGAAGATATAGCTAGATTAGTAGTGCTTCTTCAATTGAACCTGTCTGCAC